CCTTAGAAACCCAAACAGACATGAGGGCTTGGCCTATCTATTGTGAATGCTTATGTATGTATACATCTACGAGGTGTGATCAGAAAATAACCGTTGTTTTCAATTTTTTTGAATGAGTATTTAGAAGTCTTCTAGCCACGAACTCATTACATCTAAAAAGCTAATAGAGCTACCAAGAGTTGCACAAGCACTGATCTCTGAATTCTTTAATGCCATTCTAAAACTAAATTACATTCCAAACGCGTGGAAAAAGTCGCAGATATTAATGATAGCCAAACCAGGCAAAGACCACACACAGGCGGCTGCTTACAGACCAATAAACCTACTACCCAGTCATTCCAAATTATTTGAATATCTCCTTTTCTCCACCGTAACAATGTGATACCAGATCACCAATTCGGCTTTCGTGAAGAGCATAGTACAAGCTAACCAAATAACTAATGAAATCAGAAAGGCATTCGAGCTCAAAGAGTACTGTTGTGCAATCTTTCTTGACGTAGCACAAGCGTTCGACAAAGTCTGACATAAAGGTTTACTGTACAAAATACATAAAGCTCTGCCTGTTCAATTTTATATGATACTTAAGTCATATCTGACTAACAGAAAATTTACCATTAAACAATCTGAATTTATCAGTGGATGAGTATCCGGTAAAAGCTGGTGTTCCGCAGGGTAGCGTCCTCGGGCCTATTTTATATATCATATACACTGCAGATAATCGATAATATACAGAGGTTCCAGTCTAAAATTTTAAGAGCACTAACGGTCGCACCTTGGTACGTTCGTAACGTTAACATTCATCAAGACCTTGGTATTTTACTGGTTAAGCCTGAAATTGAAAGAAGCAGAACGAAGTACTTCACAAAGCTAAGAAATCATCCAAATCCGCTAGCTAATGCTTTATGCAAACCATCGAGAAATTCCCGCCTGCAACGAAGAGATGTTCCCGCCTTCTAAAGTGAGCGTCGTAGTTTGAGAAGGGCTCAGAGTAAAATAACTCGAGCTATCATGTTTGTAATTTATTTTTTAAGTTTTGTACACTTACTGTGAGGCTTATATTATAGCAGATCCAGTAAATAAATGAATTCTGTATAAAAAAAGTATTTATTTATTCATCAATAACTATCTTGTCCCCTTCATCCCCTTCAATCCCTCTCAGATATTTTATACTTACGCCAGCTTTATTTCCTATCCTCAAAAAACCTCTGAAACGCGTTTTTTGGTAAGCCAATAGCTCCTGTTTCGATTTTTCTATTATCTCCTCAATCGCAGCAAAACGCTTTCCTATCATCGGTGTCCTCCATTTTGGGAAGAGGAAAAAGTCAGCGAAGGCAAAGTCCGGTGAATACGGTGGTTGAGGCATTATAACGGTTTTTGGCCAAAAACTCACGCACAAGCATCAATGTGTGAGCTGGTGCGTTATGATGATTCCAAATTCATAATTCTTTTTTCCACTTTCTGTGTGTTTCTGACGAATTGCATCGTGCAAAACGGCGCAAAACTTCTAGATTGTATTCTTTTTTGACCGTACGATATTGTGGCGAGAATTCATGATGCGCCACGCCCTACCATTCGAAGAAGACAGTGAGCACAGAGAACGTATAACATAGAGAAGGTGCAAGTACGGACCAGAGTGGAAATTGTCAAAAAGCACGATTACTTCGTTTCACGTAATCGTACCACACTCCTCACATGATTCGCAAAACTTGCTGTTAATTAAAAGAATTGAGCGTAACAGTATGTTAATTTGTAAACATAATGTAAATTGATAACATTGATAAAAATAAGGAAAATATCGCAAAATTTGCCGACGGCAATTTAATTTTTGCATATGTAGATATGTACGCCTTACTCAATTTAATACGAAATTGAAATATCCTCACTATCGTTTTCAGCAGGTCAATATATCTACATTATACTCATAATTCATAGTTGTATTCCTATTAGAACAGAAATTATTCATATAAAACCTACCAAAATTTGATTGGGACACATATGGAAGGCTGAACTTTCAAACCGCTCTCCTGAAAACTTTGAAAAATAGACTTACGAATGCAACACATTAGTATATGGAAAAATGCGTTTTTTCTGTTTTAGCTTGGGATTCGCACTTCATCCCTAAAATCTAGAATTTTTGCATTTTGCCCAGCTTACACAGACAACTTGAATTTACTTGCTTCCCAATATGAGCTAATAGGCAAACAGCAAATTTAACAGCACGATGCCGACTTGCTTCAATTCGGCAGACAAAGTCTGAATTTTTGTCAAAGTCGCAAGAATTTGAAGCAATGCTAGTGTATGCCACATACCAATGTAGATTGTTGTTGCTTCACATTTCGGGAAGATGTACGATTTGCTAATTTTTGTTACGGGACTTTTTATACCCGGCTATACTATGTGACCAGAGTGCATTGGATTTGTTTTGCTAACGGTTTTAAAATAATCAAAGTAAGAATTTATAAACTATGTAGAAAACTTCGTGGAATGGTGATATACATTGATTTAGGAATGTCTGTCCCTCCGTCTCTATACACGATAGCTCGAGTAAGAACTGAGATGTCTCATACATTTTAATATCAGCGGAAAATATCGCTTGCACTCGAATTTAGTCTTCCTTACATGTATGAGTTTGTGACCGTCCTGTGAGCAGTGGTATTTATGAATGAACACATTGCTTTGTTGTAGGGCGCATGCGTTTATGAATGAAAATTTTGTGTTTTTCATGATTTCATGTATGTATGGGTCTTTCATATACATACAGTCACCTTTGAATGTGTTTGTTTTTGACTTCAGCTCAACTTGAATTTCTGATTTTTGCAAATTTTGCCATCGTCCCGAAGAAGTCGTTCGTGGATGACGGGGTACAAGGGAAGAGAATTTGCAAGTTTTTGTGCATGTGTCTGTTTTTCGTGTACACATTGGCCTCTTTGAATGTATGTGTCTTTAACTTCAGACCAACTTGAATTCTGATTTTTCTGATATTTTGTCATCGTCGCGAAGAAGAGGTTTGTGGATAGCGGGGTGAAAGAAGGAAGGGCATGCGAGCTATTGAGATTGTGTGCGTTTAACGTATACATATTGAATTGCTTGAGTGTATGGGTTTTCACTTTGTCGCAAGTTCAGCATCAATTTCTAACTTTTGACAAAATTTCTGACCGAAACGGCTTGTTGGTGGAGGGAGCCAGAGGAAAGGGATCTCACAATACTTTGTGTGTATTTGTATTTTCTACATGTATATGAAGCTGTCAATGTATGGGTTTGTGATTTTTGCTCAACTTCAATTTCTGGATTTTTGCAAAATTTGACTTCGACTTCATGAAACTGTTTGTGGATGAAGAGTTGAAGGAAAGAGGGGTTTGCATGCATTACTTGTTTTTGTTGCTTTTATGCTTATTCTACTTTTCTTTATTGAAATCAATATTCTAGAATATTCTAGAATCTTCTGGAATGTTTAGAATATTTTAGAAAATTAGCACACAATCCTTGCACACACAATCTCATCTTATCTTGTGGACAGGGTGCATGCGGGAAGGCAAGGAAATTGCTTGCTGGGCAATATGAGCTAACAAGCGAACAGCAAATTTAGTAGCACGATGTCGATTTGTTACATTTCTGCAGGCGATGATTGAATTTTTGTCAGTGGCAAAAATTTGAAGAAATGCTTGTGGGCAATACTTGAATGTTATGGGTCGAAGGAAGAAGGGCATGCATACTACTGTATGTTGTTGTTGCCTCACTTTCCGCGACCATATTTGCTTCCGATTTTTTGTTTTTTTTGTCAACGCAGCAAAGAAGCAACTCGTTATGAATGAACGCAATTTGATTTGTTGTAGGGCGCAGGCGTCTATGAATGAGTATCTTATTGTTGTATTTGATTTCAGTTCTGAGCTTTTAGACAAGAGAAGTATCTAGAGGGATGGAGTAATTTGTTTTCACATATGCATATGTTTGTACATAATAAGCATGTGAGTATATGTTCACATGTACATGCAAAAGGTCATCTAAAAGAAATTAAAATCATTAACAAATGATACTGTCCTTAAGAAATACACATTTATAAAAAATTGTTAAAATTTTATCAGTAATTAATTGATGATTTCAAATTTGAATTCAATTTGGTCATTTATATATGATAAAAGTAAATAAAAGCGGCTGTTAATTTACATTTGCATAGATTTCAGTTCTCGTTGTGTTTGAATACGCTCAATTCTGTTAATTTTTCATATCGAGGTGAAACAGAAATTTAAGACGAGAAGGAAATGACGATTACACGAAACGAAATTTTTCTGCCAGAAATGTCAGAAACGCTGGCTTTGCACCTTCTCTATGTTATACGTTCTCTGATGTGTAAATTTCCACTTCGTTTCAAATAAGTGTTATAGTTATTTATTATATTTATTTATTTATATCTAACTACAGCGTTTTGACTTTTTTGAAAATTTTAAACATTTGTTTGATATAAAATGATTTGCTGTTGTGTGTCGCGTCGTTAGCCGGATGTGCAATTGAAGAATGCCGGCAAGCTTCTGCCGGAAGACGCTCAGGGTTGTGGTACATGATAGCGGTAAGTTAAAAAGAGTGCATTTTTGTGAAAGTGTTAATTTGCAAGTCGGCAACAAGTGGAAGGTGCAAAAATTATTTCATATGAGATACGAAACATGCAAATTTGTATTTATTGGTAAGCCAAAGTAATCTAATATATTATTTCACACTTATAATAGTGTTTATACCGACCATTATAGAACTATTATATTAAGTAAACAGAAACAACCGTATTTATTCTTTATTCATTGTATTTATTTGTTTCAAAAGTTTTTATGGCATTTTGGTAGTACGTTCATGACGTTACTCATTAAATATAGATTTATCGAAGTCTTAATGAGTACTGAAATACAATATTTAGTAAGATCTTGATTATATTTTTCACTTAAAATTAATAACTGGCATTCGTATATTTTATATATGTTTATTTTTCAAGATATTTCATATCTTTACTTTAATAAATACCAACACCGCATGCAAAATGAGTTTGACCCAATACTAAGCACTTATACTCGTACATACACAGGGATGTGTGTAAAAATTATATTAAACTAAATTAGCGACTAATTTTAGACATTTTGTCCATATTCAGTACTGCAATTATTTTTTGAGTACCAACTGTTATAATAACAAATATTCACGAATCATTTGCCGCGCCCGCTGTCCGTCAAACAGGGTGACAGCCGAATATTTCATTCATAGTTGCGCAGCAAACAATTTGAATATTTCGTGGCATAAAATGATTAACTTAAATAAACAAATTTTCATTATAACATATAGAATTAAATATTTTTTTCTTATTCAGCAACCCCTTATTTTTCCTGTTCGGGCTTAAACTTTCAAATTTCTACGACGATTGCCTATATTCGCCCATTCCACAGGCAAATCACTGCCGATCTCATATTTGCCGGGTGTGCAATTGAGCAACTTTTGTGCGCGTTCACAACGTCGACTCACGCCCCAGTAAGCAAAACCTTGCGGACAGCGGAAGACCTGACCTTCCAAACGCTCTGTCGCCGTCGAGTAACCACACTTGATAAAGAGCTGACTGCATTCGTCCTTATTCAATGAGAAATGACCTTCAGCAGGACACAGCGGCTCACCTACGGATCGGATTTGTACCTGTTTGAATCGGAAATGAATTCAAATGTTAATAAATTTAAAATAATTTTTTTTTATCTTTTTTGTCAAATATACACACCATATTCATGCGTCTTATCTGGTCCTCGTAGAAAGCTGAGCGCGTCATCGCCTTATCTAGACAGAAGTCGCCTTTGTTTGGCTTATCGCAAAGATTTGCCTGCTCATGGTACACCGTTCCCTTGGGACACTCGAAAACCGTTACCGCAAGATCATGACTGTCGGCTTTTTCGGTACATTGATAGAAGAGATCACAACTCTTGGGATGACGCCGAAAGCCAGTGGGGCAAACAAATGTATATTGGCCTTCGCCAGTTTGAGGACATGGCTTGCTGGTGTTCGCGGGAGGACTGGGTGCAATTGTGGTGGTTGGCTCGGTTGTTGTTGTTGGTTCGGTTGTTGGCGGCACTGTTGACGGTTCTGTAGTTGTTGTAGTTGTTTGTTCAGTCGTTGTTGTGAGCTCCGTAGACGTTGGTGGTAGGGTACTTGTCGGCGACTGCGTGGTTGTAATTGCCGCCGTTGTAGTCGTGGGCGCTTGGGTTGTTGGCTCCAGCGTTGTGGTCGCCTCCGTCGTCGGCTTCTCCGTGGGTTTCGTTGGTTTTGGTTTTTCTGTTATTGGCTCCTTAGTCGGTTTGTCGGTGATTGTTGTTGTTGTCAACTCAGTGACAGTGCTTTGTGTTGTGGTTATACCACCTCCCGCCTCTGAGCAATTGCCAGAAACTTGATCGGGGAAGTTACAAATCTCCAACGAAGTATCCCATACAGTGCCGTCGGGACAGCGAAAACTGTAGATTTGATATTTTCCGTTCTTATTTGCATCTACGCAACGGTAATAACGATTGCAATCTTGCGGATCGGGGAAGTAACCTTCACTGGAACATACATGGTTACTAGGTTCAACTGTTGTGCCCGGATAATCTTCGGTAGTTGATTGAGTTGTTGTGGGGTCAGTTCCTGGTTTATCCGTTGTGGTTGGCGAGGAGGTTGTGGGTTTGTAGCCGGGTTTCGAAGTGACTGGGTATTGTGTGGTGTCTACAGGGTTGGTTGTGGTACTGAGAGGTTGCTCAGTGATTGTTGTGCTCTGTGTTGTTGTTGTCTCTTCAGTTGTTGTTGTTGCGGAAGTTGTCGTTGTTGGCTGTGTTGTCATCTCAGCTTGAGTTGTTGTTGACCATTCACTAGGCCTAGGTGTTGTCGAACTGTCAAATGAGCTTTCTGTGGTTATTGTCGAGGTTTCGGGTTCGTCCGTTTGACCATTACAACGTTCAATATTTTCAGCATAATCACAGGTCTGTTTATCCTCACTCCAACCTGTGCCCTTGGCACAAGTGAATTCGTGCCGCACAAACGTATCACCATTTCGGACGCAACGATAGAACTTTCGGCAATTCATGGGATCAGCCATAAAACCTTCGCCCTGACAAGTTTGACCTGGTGGCAAATTCGGCACGGGTGTGGTCGAAGTCGGTTCGGTTGTAGTGGTAGAGTCGGCTTCAGTTGTTGATATTGGTGATGGTGTAGATGTCGTGGTGGGGATTGTGGTGGGCTCTGTTGTTGAAACTGCTGTCGTAGTTGTAGATACTGTTGTTGTAGTGGTTGGTGCCTCTGTTGTGGGCCAGGTCGTTGAAACTGTTGTTGTGGTAGAAGGCGCCAAAGTCGTAGTCCACGTTGTAGGAGCAGCGGTGGTCGTAGTTGTCGTCGGCCTTTCAGAAGTCGTCTGCTGACTACTAGTGCTAGGGTAAAGTGTAGTGGTTGGCTTCTCATATGATGGCGTACTGCCTCCTGTGGTGGTTTCATAGTACGTTTCCGTGGTAGTCTCTGGCTCTGGCTCTTCAGTTTGTCCAGCGCAACGATCGATATTGGCAGCATGATCACAAGTTTGCTTTTCCTCACTCCAACCGGTGCCTTTAGCGCACTTGAACTCATGTCGGATAAAACCGTCGCCAGTGCTCACACAGCGGTAGAACTTACGACAGTTATTTGGATCAGCCATGAAGCCTTCACCTTCACATTTGGTGCCTGGCGGTAGATTCGGTATTGGGCTTATTGTAGACGTGTATTCACCACTTGTGCTCGATTCTGTAGAGCCGGTTGTTGAGGATTCTGTTCCACTGGTTGTAATAGTCGAAGTGGGGTATTTAGTGGTAGACTCTGGTTTGGATGTGGGGTAGGAGGTTGAGTCTGTGGTTGTCGGTGGATGAGTTGAAGTCTCTGGATATTTACCATCATCTGTTGTAATTGTCGATGAAGGTTGTGTGGTTGGCTCATACCCCGGATCCAAAGTCGAGCTTTGCGCTTGTGTGGTGGTGGGACGAGATGAATTTGGGGTGGTTGAGGGACTTGACGTTGTAGTAGTTTGCTCTTGAGCAGTCGGTGGGTTACTTGCATTCGGATTACACATCTTTAAATCGTGATTACAGGTCTGCAAATCACTGTCCCAAACAGTGCCATCTCCACACTTAAACGGATATTGTGTGAAGCCACCTTGTCCATTGCTGACACAACGATAGAACACAGTACAATCTTTTGGATCCCCAATGAAACCTTCTTCACGGCATAAATCCTGGGTGAGTACTGGACGTTGAGTGCTTACGGTCGGTGGTAGAGCTATGGGCGCTTGCGTAACATCACCCGGACGACTAGTGGTTTGTATGGGGCGCGATGTGGTTGGGTTTTGCACCTGCGTGGGAGGCTTTGCAGATTGCTGAGGAGCGGAAGTGGTGGGACGTATAGTGGATGGTTTTTGTGTAGATGGTGTTTGTGTTGGTTTCGGTTGTGGCAAGCTACCTGTGCCGCAGTTTTTATCCTTCACAGCCCAAGCATGGTTACAAGCCGCAATCGCACTGTCCCATACGGTGCCAGGACCACAAGTGAAGGGTACCTTATCATAACCTTTGCCGTTATCCACGCAGCGATAGAATCTAGCACAATCTTTTTCATCACCCAGAAATTGTGTTTTACCATCACAATCACCAGAGGGCTTTGATTGGATCGGAGCTGCGGTAGTTGTTCCTTGCGAACTTGCCGAGCTCTGACTTGAGGTGGTGGATTGTGAGCTGTTGGAACCTTGCGAGGAGCCGCTCTGTTGATTGGAGCCTGAACCTTGTGTCGTGGATGAACTTTGATTAGTGCTTGAGCTCTGAGTTGTCGAGGAACCCTGATTGCTAGTGGAGCCCTGAGCAGTAGACGAGCCCTGATTGTTGCTGGAGGAACTTGAAGAAGCCTGCGATGTTGTTGAGCTTTGACTGCTTCCACTTTGCGAGCTCTCCGTTGCTTCCTGTGTGCTGTTACTATTGGTACTCTGACTACTCGTTGAACTGCTTGACTGTGTGTTACTGGAGGATTGCTGATTTGAACTGGAGCTACTTGATGAGCCTGATTGTTGGCTGCTAGAAGATTGCTGCCCAGTACTTGAGGAACTAGACTGATTACTACCAGATGACTGTTGACCAGAACCGGATTGGTTACTTCCCGATGACTGTTGACCAGAACCGGATTGATTGCTTCCCGATGACTGTTGGCTTGAACCGGACTGATTACTTCCCGATGACTGTTGACCAGAACTGGATTGGTTACTTCCCGATGACTGTTGGCTTGAGCTTGAGCTTGATGAGCCTTGCTGGTTCGAACTACTTGTGCTTGAGGAACTCGACTGATTATTGTTTGAAGATTGCTGACTTGTGCCTGAGTTCGATGAGCCACTACTGTCACTTGCCATCGCACGACATTGCTCCTTTTGTACATCTGTTGGATGGTTGCAACCTAAAACATTGGGATCCCACACCGTGCCGGGGGCACAATCGAAAGCTATTTTGTCAAATCCGCCATTACCGTTATCAACACAGCGGTAGAAGCGTCGGCAATCTGTCTTATCCGACAAATAGGTCTCTGTATCCTTACAATCTCCTTCAGGGTTAGGTGGTTTTTGAGTTGAGCTTGTTTGATTTGATTGTTGTTGCTGTTCATTGCTTGTTTGTTGTTGATTTTGATTTGACTGATTGTTGCTGGACTGATTAGACGAGCTCGATTGATTACTATTTGCGGAGGATTGGCTTGAAGAACTTGATTGTTGATTCTGATTGTTGTTTGAGGAACTGCTGCCTGATTGCTGGTTATTTCCGGATTGTTGATTACTGCCTGTTTGTTGAGTACTGCTGGAGGAGGTGTTCGTATTGCTGCCAATATTTAACATCGCCTTACATTTTTCTTTTTGTTCGCTGGTGGGGAGATCACAGACTTTATCCTCTTGGTTCCACACCGTACCAGGTCCACAAGTAAAGGGAACTTTCTCCAAGCCGCTTCCGTTGTCTCGACAGCGATAGAACTTTGTGCAGTCCTGCTCGTCGGGTATGTAGGTCTCGTCGTTTATACATTCGGTGTTCGTATTCGGCTTATTAACGTTAGAGATGCTTGATTGATTGCTTGAACCAGATTGATTGCTTGTGCCAGATTGATTGCTTGTGCCAGATTGATTGTTTGAGCTGGATTGATTACTTGACCCAGATTGGCTGCTTGAAGATTGATTGTTTGAACCCGATTGTGTGCTTGAACCAGATTGGTTGTTGGAATTAGACTGATTGTTGGTACCAGATTGATTGCTCCCATTTGATTGATTGCTCGAAGAGGAGCTTTGATTGCCCGAACCAGTTTGATTGTTTGATTGATTATTACTAGTGCCTTGATTTGCATTAGAAGAGGATGCTGAACTGCTGCTTGAAGTCGACGACTGTTGATTGCTCGTACTTGAGCTTTGCGTACTCGATTGAGATTGTGAATTGGACGAAGTGCTTTCGGTACTGCTTGATTGAGTGCTTGTTTGCTGCTGCTGATTATTCACCGAGCCACCGGCATTTGAGGCGTTTGAGCTTGTGTTATTCGACGATGATGACGATGACGATGATGACGACGATGAAGATGTATTGGAAGATGAGCTAGTGGAGCTCTGTTGACTACTGCTGCTGCTGCTACTCGATGTTGTTGTATTCTGATAGTTGGTTTGCGATGATTGCGTTGTATCCGCTGCATACTCAGCCAGTGGTAAATTATCAGCTTTTCCCCTACATCCACCACCAGCACGTACACTGTGAATGTGATTGCACGATTCCAATGCAGCATCCCACGCCGTACCGTCGGAGCAGCGAAAACCGATTTTATTAAATGTGCGTCCATTCGAAATGCAACGATAAAAGATTGTGCAATCGTCTGGATCACTCATAAATCCATCATCTTCACACGGTGGTCCCTGCTCATCCGCCGCACTGCTGCCCGCTGAGCGGGCTGCTGAGGTGGAAAAGGAAATTACGGAAACGCCACCCAAACCTGACAGGCCATAATTTTGCAATTGACCACGCGTAGCACTAACGTCGGCTGCAAGACCGTCGTGGGCAGCAGCTTTAGCATCCACTGTGGTCGCGTATATCCCATTACCGTTATTGGCAATGCCATATGTCAGTAGCGGCAGTTGTTGGCCATCAACACCATTATCACCACCGCCATTGTCCATATCAATTTCGTTCATGTAATCGTTGCATTCCTCGCGGCCAGCCAGTTGTGGTGGCATACAGAGGCGAAGATTACGCGAGAACACGTTACCTGATTTGCAAGCGAATGCATAAGCTTTGATGTAGTCATTTGTTTTCGCCTCACAACGATAGTAGATACGACAGTCATAGTCATCGGCAAACAAACCCTCGGCCGGGCAGTAAAAAGCACTCGGTATGGCATCGGCGTAGGAAGAGGGTTGCATGTGTGGCCCAGGTGCGGTCACGGTGTTAGTTGCGGTAAGCGGATCATCTGCAAATGAAAATTGTGGGAGGAAGCGATAAAAAAGTGTTAAAGTGTTGAGTGATAGGTGAGAGCATGCACTTTTATGTATGTACGAGTATATGTATTAGAATGTGATGAAAATTGCTGGTAAAACGACGATATTTTAAACATTTTATAGCTACCTGAAGGAAATTGCCCCCTTCTGTTCCGAATATGAACAGCTTTTCACTAAATTTAAGTTTTTATATCAGAAATATTTTCTATTTTTATTTCTATGGGGTTCATGGGGTTTATGACCAAACAAGAACCCTTACTTTTGTAATCAATAAAATATACATAAAAGCGTAATGTTTTTGCATATAATTTTATTCTATTTGATTTTGTATTACTATACTTTTTGGTTTTACTTAACTACCTTTTTTACATTATTTTACATTACTTAATGCTATTTTTTGACATAATTTTATTTCATTAATATATTATATATACTCGTATATATCAGATGCACAACTTTGCTTCCGCCGTTTTCCGATAGGTGGCTGTACCGGCTGAGGCTGGTTCAAATACATAGATGATAATTCCTTTGTGACTGTGGACAGTGCCTAACGAATTGTCATCGTCGTTTCACTGACAGTTGTTCTTGTTTTCGTATTATTCACGCTCGAAAATGTCCGTTTATTCGCCTTATTCTCGCCATTTGCGGGAAGTTTTACTTTTCTGTTACAATTCGAAAAAAATGCAGCTGAAGCGCATCGAATGCTCTCAGAAACTTACGGCGATGCTGCCCTGAGTGAAAGAACGCAGAAACTCACGAGGAAAGCCCGGGCATGCTTCTTCGTCGAAGGCAAAACCGAATATTCACGGCGCCAAAGTTATGATATATATTTGGTGGGATCAGCTCGGTGTGATTTACTACGAGCTCTTAAAACCGGTTGAAACCATCACTGGAGATCGCTACCGGACGCAACTGATGCGCCTTTGTCGCGCGCTAAAAGAAAAGCGGCCACAATATCTAGAGCGACATGACAAAGTCATCCTCCAACACGACAATGCTCGGCCTCACGTCGCAAAAGTGGTCAAAAAGTATGTGGAAACGCTGAAATGAGAAGTCTTGCCCCACCCGCCGTATTCCCCAGATGTCACCCCCCCTGACATCCACCTATTCCGTTCGATGGCACACGGCCTGGCAGATCAACATTTTCACTCCTTCGAAGAATTGGAAAAATGGATTGCTTCATTTCGCAATGAAGCTTTTAATTTTTGAAAAAAACAGCGGAAGAAAAGTTGTACATAATATAATAATAATAATAATATGATATTATTATTTTTTTTATTACTTCATATGTCCTTATTTTAACTTAATTTATTTTCTATTCCTTTATTTTATTTTACTATATTTAACTAATTTTATTTGATTTTATTCTATCCATTTTTTTATTTTATGTTATTTTTTTTTATTATTTTTCTTTATTTGATTTTTTCATTTCATTTTTTTAATTTTATTTTATTTCATTTCATTTTATTATTTATTTTACTTTAAATTATTTTAATTAATTTTTTTTATTTTATTTCAATTCATTTCAACTCATTTCATATTATTTTTTGTTTTATTTCATTTTATTTTATTTTATTTCTTTTCATTTTATTTAATTGAATTTAATCTAAATAAATTTAATAATTTTTTTTTATTTAATTTAATTTTATTTTATTATTTTCCTTTATAACCATTTTCTCTTTTTTTACTTTATTTCATTTTCTTTTATTATTTTTTTACTTAATATTATTTTAATTAATTTTTGTCTTATTTTATTATCTTTTATTTTATTTTCTCCTTTATTTTATTTTAATTTTTTGACTCATTGTATTTAGTTTTTTTTTTGTATAAATATATATATTGAATAAATTTAATTTAATGTGATTTAATTTATTCATTTAATTTATTTTTTAATATTAATTTATTGATTCGATCTTATTTAACTCTACTTAATATTATAAATTAATTTAATTATGAATAACAGTACTATTCATTTTCGCAAACTCCTTGATACAACTCATTATCATAACATTCCTACAATTTCACGAATAAATCGTAATATACCCATAAAATGTCAAACTATAAATATGATACTTTATTTCATGCCTAATCGCATATTTTTATGCTTTCAGGGCTGTAAAAAAATCCTTACATTAAATAAAACATTTCCATCTCTTTCATTTACATTCGCCTATGACTATCAATCCCCTTCGACTGATGAAAAAGTGCCAATAAATTTATATCTGATTTTACCTTCCGTGACGGAAAATTTAATAAATCTCTCGGCGACTAAAATACGCGCAATTGACCTATATACATGTAAATGTATGTATACATATGGTGACATATTTTGACAATTAGACTGGTTTTGGAGTAATCTGAAATTAGTTGATTATTGAATAGTATTGGATTTGCTTCCGATCTTATTTTTCATCATCATCTGGAAGCCAAGTCCGGTAAAATACTTGTAGCGATTCTCGTTTTAATTGCTGTATGAACAACAACTGAGGGTAACATCTTCAGAATTTCTATGCCTTGAACTTAAGTTAAAACAGATCTTATTAGAAACAAGAGAAAAGAAACAAGATAAATGTAACAGATTTCACCGATATATATAATATAAGGGAACTGCAGCGCTGACGAACATCCCAGCCAAATATTGCTTTTAAAGGAATGGTTTCACAAAGGGGCGAGAAAACTTGACCAAGGACATTTCAAAGAAAAAATGTTTAATGGTATCAAAATGGTTCTATCGAACAGCTCTAAGCGGATCTAGACTTAAGCATTTTAGAGTTGCTTTTATGGATACTCATTACCGTGAGGGGCATAAAAGTAAGCGAAATATTGGATGAGTGCATAAGTTCGTGGCAAGAGATCAAAATAGATCACGCCTCGGATATCCCACCAAATGCACAGCAGTAACTTCATCGCATGCAATCCACCTTTCGACATCGGTTCCGCCCCTTCGTGTGCCTGTTTCCATGTTCTTTTGCGTTGAACATTGTTGTACAGGATCCATTTTTCATCACCAGTCACGAGCCGATCCAAAAAAGGTTCGTTTTTGATCCGTCGAAGCAAAGAAATTGCTGTTGACATACGGTCCACTTTGTTTTTTTCACTCAACTGATGTGGCACCCATGTATCGAGCTTCAAAGTGTACCCAACCTTTTTTAAACGACGAAACGCAGTTGATTTGTTGACGTTCAATTCACTGGCAACCTCTTCCGTCGAAATACGTGAGTTATTCGCAACTAAAGTCCTTAGAACATCGTCATCAAGCTCAGAAGGCCGTCCACTGCGAGGTTGATCTTCGAGGTTAAAATCTCCAGAACGAAATTTCGCGAACCATTTCTTTACTGTGCGGAGTGCTGGAGCACGGTCCAAATAAACTTCGCGAATATCTTTAGTTGCAGCGCCTACTGTTTTTCCTTTGCGGAATTCGTATAACATAATATGACGCATATGATCTTTTTCGTTGTCCATCTTCCATGCGTCTTTTCACTAAGCAGCTCAAATCAAAATGAAATTATTTTATGCTTGATTTACAGTTCGGACTGTGACCTTTCCAACGATATATATATGTATATATTTCTTTCACGAGCGCCACTCTCAAACGATTCGAACGGCATCCAGCGGAATCGGGCACGAATTTATGCACTCATCCAATAATAAAGTGCATAAAGAAGTGCAAAATGATGGAAAACATGGTTTTAAAATTCGTCTATTTTGGCCCACCTTGGCAATCACCACCTAACCCTGCTAGGTATGAGGCATAGATATTATGCTAAAGTCTGCGAAAGTAAAAAAAAAATAGACTTGAATATTTTTGAATGTTACTTTATAATTTCTATCAAAAAACCTAAATATCTGTAAAAACAAGATTAAATTTTCTAATTTACTCAAAAGCCTAAATGTAGACAACACTTTGTCGTGCATAGATTAAAAGACGTAAAAATGCTGCCTGCAACTAGGCGTTGCTTCAAATATCATTGAAAATAATTTCTTAATTTATTCTTTATATTTTTTTAGCTGCACTTTTTAATAATAATTTCGTTGATAATTCAATAAATTTACGTAAAATACTAATTTACAAAACCTTGTCGGATTGAGTCTTGTGTATGTTGAGGTTTACGATCACTAAGTGTCCGCCAATGAAAATTTTCAATATACTTGAGTTTGATTGGTTCCAAAAGGATGCCATAAGAAGCGCCAAACAACTAGCTTGGGTTGAACTAAAATTATTTCATTGTATGTTTCTACCTTTCTACATATACATACATATATAATGCCAATGCAGTTGTCATACGTTTCCAATGTTTGAGCAGTATTTTTGCTGAGAGCACATTTTTTAATTGAAAAAAAAAAAAAAAATAAACAATAAATAAAATAAAAATCACCGCAGTTAGGAGTTGCTGCTAGTCCCTTTTTGTAAGTGGGAAGGAAATTGTAAAAATGTCAGTTATTGCAAATCAACCACTCAATTATGATTTCCGTAGTTTTGGTTTTTGCGAAAGTCTATCCAAAAAAAAAAAAAAAAAATTGCTAGCCTCGGCCGCACTGCAGCAATGCAGGATTTTCATGTGGTTTTTTCGAGTAATTTTTCATTTGATTTTTATGCGATTTTTTCAAGGTTTTCAGTTTTTTGTTTTTATTTTATTTTTATTTTTGTTGATTGCCCGCACTCGTTTATTGAATATTTATGGTTAAAATTCAATTTTGATTTGTGCTTGCATATACATACATATTTATCTATGAATTTGAAAAATTTGCACCCTTATATACATATATATATATACATATACATATATATACAAGTAAGTGTAAAGTGTTTCTTCTTCTAAATGATGATTTTATATACTATATTATATTTTGGTTATTGTTTTAGTTGCCTAACATGCTTGAAAACATTTATTTCGATTATGAAAATATTAAATTGGAAATATATTTGAATGAAATTGCGTTTAGAGCACTCAATTGTTGGTGTGTGTGTACG